CATCAATTTAGTCTGCTCCCACACACAGTCGTTCAGCATAACACACACAGATTCACTGATACCGTAAAAGACTGAAAAAATTACTGGCTGTTCTGCTGGATGTGGCGGTGGGCGAATCAGGTAGAAGTCCACACATGAAGACCTCTGCAGTTTCTCTGTACTTTTGAAGGTCCATGTTCTCTGCAAATGAGATGTCTTTTGTACCAAAGAAACTTATCCTGGACAGCAGAACCTGCTCCCAAAAATGTCACAAATATTAGCATAATCAGAACTTTGCAGAGTCAGCTAGATGTATCCTCTCTCTCCTGATGCTTACAGATGAAATTAGCATATACTACTTTGTATAAACAATTCTTAGCAACAACGTATATGATTACTGATCATTAGAAATAAGAGCTATATTGATGATCTTAACAACAAAATGGACGACTATAAATATAGATAATCTGAGCTTATAAAGTACATCTGACAACTTTGGCATGAATTCAACATTCAAGTACCATATGAAGAACTAAATGGAAACCAGTTAAAGAACTCCTTATAATATATACCTGAGTAGCAGCATGCTTGTCGTCCCAACTAAACCAAGATGGACTTCCCCAGTTAGCAAATGCCGGGCCGTTCTGTTCGGTTGCATATTTGAAGTATGTCAAGTCTCCAGTGGCATGATAGAGCCAGGTAGCTGCCCACAAGAGTTCATCTCCATATCCTGTAGAGTTGTAGTAAATCTGCACTTGGGGTATGCTGACACTATAAGAACCTCTGTAAGTATCAGCAAAAGCAAACAGCTGCTGGGCATGCATGAGGAGCAACTTAGAATAAGAGGAGTTGATTTTCCTGAAAACCAGAGATGCTGATGCCATAGCTGCTGCAGTTTCTGCTGCAACATCTGTTCCTGGGAAAGATGTGTTAATTTGAATCAGAGGCCTTTCCTCTGTCATGACTTCAGGTCTCTGCCAACACTTGTGGTCCAAGTCAGGATCACCCACCTTCAACCACATACAATAAATCAATAAATAAACAAGTTCAAAAGGTTAATTCTCCCACTAAAAAAAAGCCATACAATTGTGTTAGAGCACTGATCGGGTTATTACATTTGTTCACCAAATAATGTCTAAGCACACTTTTGAACCTTGTTTATTCTAATAAGTTACTATCGTGATATGCATGCTAGAGGTAATGTTCTCTTATCAAACTTATGTCGCAAGACAAATACTCGTGTTGTTGTAAAAAATATTAGGCAATTAGACCTGAATATAGAGCTCATTGGGGGAAGGATGTGCATTGATAAGGTAATCAGCGATCCATTTAAGCGAGTCATGGGCATGATCCAATTGCTTCACCGCTTTCATCTGATCTCCATATTCAAGAATTGCCCAAGACAACACAGTTGCAGTAAAAGCCATGGGGAACCCAAACTTGATGAGGTCCCCTGCATCATACAGTCCTTTTGACAAATCCAAATCCTCCTCACTCCCATCTCGGAGCCCCGAATCCCCTCTCCACGGAATCGGATTATCCACAAGCTTACCAGCTACAAACAAACAACAAAGAAATCTACAACATCAACAACATGCATAGTTATTATAACCAAAAAAATAAAAATCAAAACAAGAATTGGAGAATTGGGTTTGTTTACATTTCTGGATATCAAAGAACTGCATGGAGAGTTGAAGAGCTTCTGAGTATTTTTGCACTATGGGGCCGGGGCGACCCGAGACACGACTTGAATTGGAGTGCTTTAAATACTTCAAGAGAGTGAGTGCAGCCATAGTGGCAACCAGAGCTACAGTTACTAACAGAATTAACCGCCAGCACCATCTCTCTGTCTTTGACCCTTTCTGAGCAGCTTGCTCAGCTCTCTCTTCCATTTACGCAACTAAGAGCACAACTTCTTTCAACCATTCTCAACAAGATTTCAGCTTTTGCTTTGTTAAGACTAAATCATATTGTTTTTTTTCAGACCCAGAAAAGAAAAAGTAAAAAAATTCGATCTTTGTTTTAGTTGTTGGACTTAGGCTTGGAGATGAGACAGAGTCCATAAGGGCATGTGTGAGTGCGGCTGGGCCGTCGGATTGGTGGGGTGGGGGTTTGCGTGGAAGGTCGAGATGTGGCCGAAGAATGATGCCATTATGTTGGGGAGGCAGACGGCCAAAAACTGCCAGGTACAGCTTGGCCTTTGTTTTGAAACCGGAAGAGATGATGGATTATTAGATTGTGCTTGCCTTGTCATTTTCTGTTCCAACTCCATGGGAAGAGAAAACCTTGGGTGAGTACTTACCTGCCATTTAGCAATGATGAGTGGCAAGACAACCTCCACTTGTGTCTTGACATGTGGCAATTTATACCTACTTAAGTATGGAAAATGCTAGGCTTACCACATTTTTTATACCACATTCATACCACCTCTCTAATAGAGGTGGGCCCCATTGTATTGGTGGGCTCCATCTCTATTAGAGAGGTGGTATGAATGTCGTATGAAAAATGTGGTAAGCCTAGCATTCCCCTTAAGTATTGCCATTGGATCAAATTAAAGTCTATCCAATGGTCAAAATCATGCACAAATTTTTCTCTACTAGATTGAGGGATAGGCTTCGATCATTTTATTTCTGCTTGAGATCTCAACTCATGTCATCTTGATTCTTTCAAGTTCAAAATATGTTGGTTTTCTTACATTTTTAAAAATTATTGATTTTCTAATGAGCTTATGGAAACATGTTATTTTGCTTTAATTAAGTTACAATGTCGAATTAAAATATTTATGGGCCAATGATAAATATTTGTGTAAACTCCCTTTCCTCATTCGATTGTGGGTCAATTAGGGGTGGGCATAAAAACCGATGAACCGATCAAACCGAACGAACCGAACCAAACCGAACCGAAAAAGGGTATTTTTTGACTGAACCGAAAAAGTCAAACTTGGACCTGAACCGAACCGAAGGTCCACGGTTCGGCTCTCGGGTCTAATTTTTTCAGAACCGGAGGACCTGAACCGAACCGGTACATAATTAAATAAATAAATAAATCTATATATATTACACATGGCGTCGTGTGATTGGTCAAAAATATATTCATGTGAGACTGCTTGCAGCAGATCCCTCACCTTTTTTTTTTTCCAGTAACCCTCCTCACTTCTCTTTCACTCAGTCTTCTCTTCTCTCTTCTGTTTTAATTTTTCGTTTTGTTTTTGACCTAAGACTAAGAGGCTGCGGCGCGCCTCTCTCTCTCTCGACCCACCTCAGATCTCCGATCCTCTCACTCTCAGTCGATCAGCCACCGCGCCGCCTCCATCACTGCACGCAGGTCAGCTTCTCTCTCTCTCTCTCTCTCTCTCTCTCTCTCTTATCTGTTCTATTTTTTTTGTGAAACTTTGGGGTTAAAGTGATGGTGATGATCTCCTGTTTGGGGTGGTCTCAGAGAGAGAGGCAAGATTGATGTCTTTCCAAACCTCTTCCATGGTTCTTGACTGTACTGTATATGTGAATGACTCAAAAAACTCCCGTATGCCTCATGGAAGTGCAAAGAGCCAAACCTGAGAAATAGACATTCTAAATCTAAACCAGTAGTTAGCATTTTTCTCTCACTAAAACAAAGTACAATATAATATTGCATTGAAAACTGCTTTCTTTCTTCTCTATCTTCCCTGCAGAGATAAGGTTTGGTCTGTTGTACTTTCTTGGTGGTTCTTATTTGATTTCCATTACTTGGTATTTCACTTGTAAGTGTTCCTAAAATTCTGCAGAGTTTTGTTCTTGGTCAACAGCTGGGTGTAAAAAAATTCATTACCAGTGCTTCAAATTTTGAAAATCAGCTTGTTAATATTGGATATAGTTCTAAACTATTAATTTGTCTAGTGCTATGTTTATGGTGCATAAATTAATAATTGGCTTTGGGCTTTCGGTGGTTTGGTCAAAAGGCTTGTACTTTGGGATTGAATTCAATATTGGGTAACTGAAACCTTTTTCATAAGACTGCTTTGTGTGAGTATTGATTCTGAACAATTTTGGGTAGAAGTACTGCCTTTTTGACAACCTTCTTTTGATATTTCTTTGATCTCTGTTTATATTTTGTTCATAACCTAACCCTATTTTTGTTTTCATTCACAGTTGTTTAGCATCTCTGCTGCTGATTTGTTTATGGTGAAACTTTGTGTTAATTCTTTTAAGTGTTATGTAGGTTGCTTTGTTAAGGCTTTTGGAAGAATGGATGCAGCTGATTTTTTGCAAGGATATTATCTTTAGACTTTATGTGTATTTTTGTGATGGGTTGTAATATTTCATAAGTTTCATTTAAATTGCTTGTTTTATTTGTAAGTTATTTTTTGTAATGATTGTAAGACGTTATATTTTCTTTCCTTACTTAGTTGATGATTGTGTAAATGTGGGATTCATTTAGTTGTTTAGAAACTTAGATTGGAATGATGGATTTTTATAGGTTTAATTTGCATAATTTTAGGATTTGAAAGAGAAGTAAAAATGTGATTTGGGCTTGTTAATAAGAATTTATTAGGTTTTGTCAATTTGACAACAAAAAAAGGGTTTTGGCTGAAAGAGAATTCGATTTGGGCTTTTTTTGGCTGAAATTTAATTTAATTTGGGCTTTTGAAAATGTAAAATTGGGCTCAAGCCCAAACCGATCACAAGGCTGAACCGACCCGAGAACCGAATTCATTTCCGGTTCGGCTCATTTTCGGGTTTTTATTTAGACCCGATCCGATCCGAGAACCGAAGCCTTCATCGGTTCGGCCCACGGGTCGCCCAAATTTTGAACCGACCCGAACCGTGCCCAGGCCTAGGGTCAATTGAGAGCTCTTTTTCATGATGAGTATACTCATCAAACTTGTTACCTCTCTTGGGACAGAGATTGTAAACTTTATTACTGTTTAAAGAAAAATAAAAAAATAATCTTGGGCCATAGAAGATTGGTTAAAGTTTTTCAACCTTCAGGTTCAGCGCCCTGAGGCCCTGGTCAACTAAATCCTATGTGGACCAGCCTAGCAAATTGCGGTGGTGCCGCGAAACGGCCCAAGTTATCCTTCCATCGAGGTCAAGGGCGCGAGAGGTGTAAGCTGCACTGGCAACTGAAGAGCTCCGTAGTCCGTACGATCCCTGTGCCCTCGCTCCTCTACCATTGGAGCTCTAGCTTATTATATACACGCAGTGAGTCACACAGAGACACAAATATTTATAGATACAGAAAAGAAGAGAAGAAGAGCAAGGTGAATAGTAAAACTTCAAACTCTTAATTAACAATGGCGGAAGGAAGGGAAGGTGATTGGGAATGCAGTGGATGCAGGAACAGAAACTACGCCTTCAGATCCTTCTGCAATCGCTGCAAGCAGCCTCGCCTTCTCGTCGACACCAAAACCCCCGCCGACTCCAAATGGCTCCCTCGTATTGGCGATTGGATCTGTACCGGTTAGACCTCACACCCCCCTCTCTCTCTCTCTCTCTCTCTCTCTCTCTCTCTCTCTCTCTCTCTTCTCTCTACGTGTGCGTTAATTTTTTAAATGTTAAATGGTTAGGGTTCTTGGGATTTTGGATAATTCAGGGATATGGGTTTTTAAGTTTACGGGGTTTAAGGGTATTTACGTTGGGTTCTGTTTGAATTGTACCCCGCATAATAGTAGCTACTTCAGCTCTTTAAGATAGTTTTAGGGTCAATTTTTGTTGATAATTGAGAATTTTGGCTGAGAATGCCATCTCCTTAGTTCAATTCATTCCGTGGCACCCATCTTCAGTGACCTTTTATTAAGTTTGATTAAAAGTCTCAATCTTTGAAACTTAAACACGAGAAAGTGGGTGATATTCCTAAATCGTTAATTGTGTTTTGTTGAGACTTGAGAGCAGATAGTGGTTCAGTATGGCAGTTGGGTGACATGCTCTGTTTTGTAAATAAGAATGTAGGGGAAGGATGAAATACAGGTCTGGAGCTTAATTTTCTAATAATAAAAACTCAAATATTATCACCCCTCTCTACTTTTTTCTCAATTTCCTAGTTGAACAAATCGACAGCTTTTTTCCAGCTGCATTCACTATAATTTCACATCAGTATCTTGCATTTTAAAAGCCGAACACGTTTTCTTATATAGTTATGCTAGTGACATGATTTACTGGCAATGTTTATTTAATGAAAGCACATAGTTGTTGTTCCTGCAGCTTTTGTATTTCTTTGCTTTTACTTTTCTGTCATTTTGAAAAAATAGGAACTTGCTATCAATTAGGTTGAGTGGTTTTTGTTTCTTGTATGTGTGTTTTGGTGTGGGATGGACTGGTTGGTGTGCGTATACATGGCTTCCTTTCTTCTTCCTGGCTGGATTGTGGGTTGGGTGTGTATGGCAATGGATCAATAGGTTGCACTAACAACAATTATGCATCAAGAGAGAAGTGCAAGAAGTGTGGGCAACCAAAGGAGGTGGCGGCAATGCCAGCAATTGCAATGCCTGGAGCTTCTCTCCCAACTTATTCACATTATTTTGCCAGGGCCCAAGGAGGACTGGACCAAAAGATGAATATCGGAATAATGGGCAATGGTGCTCCCCAACAATCGCTTCCTCTGAACTGGTCTATGGCAGGGGCTGATAAATACGGAGTTCAGCCACCTTCTTCTTGGTCTGTAGGTGGGAACCCTAATGCTGGACTTCTATATTCAAACCCTACTAATCAGCTTCTTTCAGTTCCAAAAGGATGGCGCAGCGGTGACTGGTTATGCAATTGCGGTTTCCACAATTATTCGTCTCGAACACAGGTATGATGACACTACATGAGCATTCAAATAAAAAATTGTTCATTACCTGACTGTTGATATCTGATCCACCTGTGATTTATCTGCAGTGCAAAAAATGCAATGCTTTCCCACCAGGTACACTCTTTCTTGATCAGTATGGCAATTGGTTATCATAGATTTATGTTTTAGAAGCACTTGAGCTACTGTTATTGGGTTTCAATATTAAGCACTGGCATCATAAATTGTAACTAATGCTCATTTATTTCCATTATAAAGCTCTTGGAACGAAGCGATTAGCATCGGAAGAGCTTGTTCATGACTGGGATAACAAGAGATTGAACATAGGAAGTGTAAGTATGATTTATCTATTCTATGACATTTTAGATGATAACATTGTAAATAACATACAATGTCAATGTTTTCTTCTTCTCCTCCTCATCCTTTCCTTATTCTTTTCACTAATGCAGACAGTTGGGCATCAGCAATCCTATCCTGGGTTTGAGCAAGTGGTAGGCACCAGTGGTAATCCTGTAACTGGACCTTATGCTTCATATCCTCCCAGCGTAAGCTCAGGCATGGCTCCGAATTTGCAAGTCCCCATGCCATTGACACAGCAAACAACGACACCTACACTCCTTGGCAAAGGGTAAATTTGGAATCACCTTATCCTTTTACATATGCATAAGTAGGTGTCACATTCTGTTGGTTTGATAACTTTTTTGGTCTTTGAATCTTATGATATGTGTAGATTATAACTCATGTTAACAAATATAAAGTATTCATGTTTATTTTGTTGTTTTCAGTTTCACAGCTTTTTGAATGTGGATAAATTGTGGACTATCCCTAATTTTAATTTAGCTTCTGTGGTCTGGGTTACTTATATTTTATTGAATTGGCAGAGCAAAGCAATGGCGTAATGGGGATTGGATGTGCACAAATTGCAACAATCATAATTATGCGTCTCGGTTAAATTGCAATAGGTTAGTTTTCAATCTTATTAAGTTGAATTCATGATGAATGGATTCTAAACTAAACATCGATTCCTCTTTTTCTATTTCCAGTTTGCTTCCGCCCCTTTATGAATACCCTTTGTTACTTATCCTATTCCTGGGTTTTAATCCCAACTTTTGATGGCGTAGAAACTTTTTTCCCGTAATGCATGGAATATATCCTGGTAGATTGTTGCTTGATTGTTCTTGCCTTGGGAGTAGTCAAACCTCTTTCTCAATTTTTCCTTTGCTTCGCTTTTTAATAAGAACAGGAATCTCAAATGCGTGTACCACTGATCCCATCAGCAAATATGTGTTTTCAGAATTGCCCCAACTGTTTACAATTTATGGGTGTACTTCTTGATGCTCCATGTTGAAACATGTAAATTATCTCCATTAGTACGTTGTAATTTGCTCTGAATGTTGGAACCTTTGTTTTCTGCAGGTGCAAGACTCAAAGAGATGCAACCGCGCAGCCGGTCAATGTCATGTAGTCTTTCAAAATTATGAAGTTGTTTCAACCTTCCATTCATTTTGAACTATGTTGAGGTGAAGATGAACGTTTTCTATAACCTTTGGTTATCTCCATGGTGATACATTATTAAGATAGTAGATTGATATTTCAATCTTAGTCTCCGCTCGCCAAGAATGTAATTTTATAGCTCCATAGTTTCATCTCATATAGAAAGGATGGGTGCGTGTATACTGTATTGATCGAGTAATATTACATGCTCAAAACTAGGTTTTTTCCTTCAAACATTCTTTTGGATTCTCCATCGCTTAATTCTCTGAAATTAGTATCTGGTGACATTTCGTCTCACATATTCAACACAACATGCACACACAGAGCTGAGATTGGTATGGACAAACCAAGTCTGCTATAAAGGTGAAACGATCGTGAATGTGTATATTATCATCACATCAACATCAGAAATACAAAATCTCTCTGGAAAAGAAAGAAAAATGAAAAGAAAAATGGGTTCTAAGAATGGTGACATATTGGATGTTGTGCAGGTTTAATTGCTGTTATGAGACTCAGGAACCCTTGAGGATTGAAGTGGGAGAGAGAGGAGGTGCATCCAACTGGTAAAGGTTAAGTGCTGGTCCAACAAACCTGAAGCAAATCCAAGCTCCAATCACAATGTAAATGGAAGCATAAGCAAACTTGTTTATCCAAAATAACAACCCTTTCTCCCCCACATAAAGCTCCAAGGCCTTCTCACCCAGACTCATATCCTCCCACTTCTTCGGAGCAGCAGCAGGTTTAGTACTAGCTTGAGCCTTCGTGAACCGTCCACCATCCCCATCACTGCCCTCCTCTCTCTGCAGTTTCGTCCGCCTTCTTGACCTCTTTCGAAATCGCAGTCCTGTGGTGTCCGGTGCCAGTTGCGGCGGCACACTATTACTGTCAGTTTCCGGGCTACTAGTGCTGCCACCATCACTGCCAGTGCTGTTGTAAATGGATGTAGAGATTCTGAGACCTCCTGGACGGGTAGGTGAGAACCCTGAGAAGATATGGTTGTGTCCTGTTCCTGTAGGTTTTGAGATGACAAGGTGGGTTGGTGAGGATGGTGTTGAAGCGAGGAGATGAAGGAGCTTGGCCTCCATTGTTCAACTTTGTTGTTGCAGCCAAGTGAGTGGATGGATGGATAAATGGATTTGCTTATCACTTTCTTTATCTTTTCTTTGGTTTTCTTCCACTATGCGATTATAGGACCTTGCCAATCTGCTTAAGAATAGTTTGGTTGGGTGGGCTTTCGTTGGGCCTCAACCCTTGCTTGGGCTTTCGTTGGGCCTCAACGATTTCAAATTACTGCCCTGCCCTCCATGCACTCACACCCTTTACCATCAAATTACTAATCTTCAAATTACAAAAGGGTTCTAAATAAACAAACTAGGAGCTTCTATTGTCATGGTGCAATGAGTTTGTTACTCAAGCAATAACTCATGCACCTAACAAAGAATGCATGTAACATAACTTTCAGACAACCAAAAATAGTAATATAGTCATGACATGTGATTGCTTCTTTCTTAAGGAAACCCTTTCAAAAGGCTTTTCCAAAAAGCAGTTAGATTTTTGATAAAAATCTGAACATGCTTGCTTCTAATAAAAATCACTATAACTTGCTTTCTACATAATAGAAGCACTCTCAAACGCTTTTTCAAGAAATAGTTGGATTTTCTTAAAAAAATTGGGTTAATTTCAATTTAGTACCATGAACTCTTACTTTGAAGGCATGGTTGTTCATGCACTCTCAATTTTAACAATTACATACCTTAAACTTTTCAATTTTTTACAATATGGTTACAGCGTTAACTTCATCGTCAAAATTTTCGTTAATTGATTGTGTGGCAAGCTTGGGTCCTCCCTATTCACTTCTTTCAATATCAGTTGAATGGTATTTGTTAAAAAATAGTTTGGTATTAGTGCGTGTAATGTGTTCTTCATGGGAATAAGCAAATAGGTGGGATCCATGCTTGCCATGCAAGCAATTAATAGAAATTTTGATGTTAAAGTTAACGCCGGAACCAGATTGCAAAATATTGAAAAGCTTAGAATATGTAATTGTTAAAATTGAGAGTGTAAGGACAAACATGACTTAAAGATAAGAATTTAGGGTACTAAATCAAAATTAACCCTATTTGAACCTACTTGCTTTTAATAAGAACTTTTATAACCACAAGTGCTTTTTACGGAAGCATTTTCAAGCGAATCCGAAAAAGTAATTGCCTCGGCATTAGGGCACCAATCTCCCCACGACTTCGTTCAGAAGGCAAATCTATTGTGAGCCTGCATTCCTATATCTATCCCAACTGCTTTACGAACCGTACACGTGTCCGATGCCATACAGGAATGCGATTCCCAATATCCAAATCCCAGCCGAATCCAACTTTGTTCCACGCCATAAATACAAATCTACCCCACCACAAAGCCCAGAATTGCGTCCATATCCCAAGCTTTTATAGTCACAAAACTTGAGTTCAACTGCAATCCAAACCTCCACAAATACCGCTTTTGTCTACCCGCTCTCTCTACTTGTACCTGTCATCTGTCTTTAGCTACAAGCAAAAATCAACTCGCCGAGTCAACTCGCCGCAGCAACAGAGCCAGCCATGACCGACAACAACAACAACACCAACCCAGACAAGCCGGTCGACCCGTTTCTCGTCGGGTACCAGCCCTCGGAGCTCCGAATCGCGTCGGAGTTCCTCACCACCTGGCTTTCCTTCCTCTCCAGAGATCTCTGTGACCACTGCTCCACAAAACTCGCCGATCGCGTCCGCTCCCTCGGCCCAGGTACGCCCTTATTCGGTTTCCGTTTGTTTCCCTGGAAAATTTAGGGCTAGATACTATGTAAAGTAGGAAAATTTCAAATCTTTGCGTTTAAGTAGAAAGAGAACAGTAAATTTAATAAATTTTGATATTGGAATTTTTTTGTGGCATAGCCTTATTGGGAATTTATTGATGGGTGTTGTAGAACTTGATGGTGATTCTAAACCGGTCAACCCAGATGAAAATTCGAGTGATTTGACACCGAAGACCCCGGAATTGCAGGGGGCTAGTGATAATGGTGAGGATAATTTTAATGATGAGGAGACAAATTCACTAGGTAGTTGGAAAGACGGAGTTCATGGGATATCTGAATCCGATCCGGAAGCTTCTAGCAGTGGCTTGGCCCCTAAATCCCCCTCTGTAGAGACTCAAAGTTCTCGAATGTCGTGGGCTGATATGGCGCAGGAAGACGAGCTGGAGGAAGAGGAAGAGCGTGAATTGAGTAAGCGGGTGGTGAATGTAAATGCCGCGACTGGAGAGTTGAGGATAACGAAGCCTACATTGTCTAGGGAGCAGAGGGAGTACATTAGGTTCATGAAAGTAAAGAGGCAGAGAGATTTTATTTGTTTGGAGAGGGTCAATGGGAAATTTGCTAACATTCTGGAGGGACTTGAGCTCCACACTGGTATCTTTAGTGCGGCGGAACAGAAGAGGATAGTTGATTTTGTTTATTCGCTCCAAGAGATGGGCAAGAAGGGTGAATTGAAAGGTCAGTCTTTGCTTTTGGAATGCCAATACAGTGTGGTATTCCTGCTGATATTTCTTGCTGTTTTTGGACATGAGCTTTATACATCCAGTTTTTAATAGGAGTTTTCTATGTATGCTAATTTGATACATGAGCTTTATGTACTAAATTTCCATACATAGAAAAGGATAATGTTTTCATTGCCTGGCTAGAATGTAAGTAAAGACATTCAAACTCTATAAATAAGTTAACTTTGCAGGGTTAGATCTATATTACTTACTGCACATAATGTCTTTGGTTGCCTATTATAAAATTATATTTGTTGTGGCCCTCAAGGTATATTTAGTAATCATTTTAGTTGTAAGTTGGCAAAAATACTTTCTAAGTGGTGTATGCCAGGATAAGATTCCCCCGCTGTTTTCTTGATGAGTTGTAAGTTAAAGTTGTTTTTATGCTAGTTAATTCTGTTATATGGAACTTTTACTATATCCTTTTAAGTTTTTTTCTGAATTTGATTTCCATTTCCTTTCTAATATATTGAATTTTATTTTATTTTTCTTATTGGGAAATGTATATACTGTTTGGCTAACCTATTCTGAACTTGTTGCAGCGCGTACATATACAGCACCCCAAAAGTGGATGAGGGGCAAGGGACGAGTAACCATTCAGTTCGGTTGTTGCTACAATTATGCAGTGGTATACTTTCCTGACTATGGCATCCATATTTGGCGACCTTATATCTTATTTGACTATTAAATTTTGTAGAGATCAGCTAAACTGTGATTCTGGTGGATATCAGTATAATTACCGAAATATGCTCAAAGGAACTATAAAGTGCTAGTGATTTTAGATGATGCATTGCATCTGATGTGCTCTGTTGGTTTCAGGATAAAAATGGTAATCCACCTGGTATCCTCCAGAATGACGTAGTAGATCCTATACCTCCTCTTTTTAAGGTGATCATTAGGAGGCTGGTAAAGTGGCATGTGCTTCCGCCGACCTGTGTACCTGATAGCTGCATTGTCAATATATATGAAGAAGGGGACTGTATTCCTCCGCATGTTGACAACCATGACTTCCTTCGACCTTTTTGTACTGTTTCATTTCTTAGTGAGTGCGACATACTTTTCGGAACAAACTTAAAGGTTATTGGTGCTGGCGAGTTTGAGGGTTCATTTGCAATCCCCATGCCTGTTGGGTAAGTATGCCATCCATATTCGTGCCTGTGCATTCTGTGCCCTTGTTTAGCCTCTACCCGTTGTTTTCAATTACATTTATCCATCACTCCTGTGTTTAGAAATGTGGCTGTTTCATCTGTTATGCGAGACTTATTAGGGGCCGTGATTTGATGTTTGCTTGTGTGGCGTCCTCTTGTTTTTTGCCTTTTGCTGTTCCTTTGGTGTTTTGTTCTTGAGGCAGCAGTTTTCTCTTGTTTTGTGTTTTCTCGTGTGGATCCCTTACCCACACCTTTTGTGTTTTGTTACCCTATTTTGAATATATCGTTTCAATTATAAAAAAAATACATTTATTTATATTTAAGTTTTGATATTTGCATCAGCCTTTTCTTGGATTCGAAATCTTAACAATCAGCCTTTTCCCATGCAGATCTGTTCTGGTTTTAAATGGAAGGGGGGCTGATGTGGCTAAGCATTGTGTGCCTGCAGTACCTACAAAACGGT